TTGAAGATCAGCAATCACAGAGTCAACATAGTGGAGGATGATGATGATAGTTGTGACCTATAAGATTGGATTTTCCCGACCATCAGTGGAGGACTCAACAACTGGAAAGCTAAATATTTTGTCCCAATTACTTTTATCCAACAGTAATTGTCTTTAAATTTTTGTCGGACTTGTAATAATTAAACAATTCAGACTTTTAAAACCTTGTGTCTTAGCCGAGGCACAACAGTCCATTTGTAAGGGTTGTTACCTCATTTTCATATGTCATCAATGAATCATGGAAGTTTTTGCATACAAACTTTGTGCTCTTTGTCTTTCTTTTTCTAAATTGTTATTTCTTTAAAAGATAGCTATACTCTTACACATACTCACATTCAAAATGCAGATCTACATCCATTCGGGATCCCATGGGTAACGATTCTTCTATGGCCTTCTATGACTTTGAAAATCTAATCTACCAAGCCGAAGACGAAGGTGAGGAAGATTGTGAAGTGCCAGGGGAACTAGCTAGGTTACTACAACAAGAAGAAAGGACCATACATCCCCACGAAGAACCAGTGGACACAATTAACCTAGGTATCGAAGAGGACAAGAAAGAAGCCAAGGTGGGTGCCAATCTGGAACCTAGTGTTAAGAAGCGTCTAACTCAGTTGCTAAATGATTATGTTGAGGTCTTTGCCTGGTCAAACGAAGACATGCCAGGACTTGATGTTGATATCATGGTCCATCATTTACCGACTAAAGAAGACTGCCCTCTGGTAAAATAGAAAGTCCATCGCATGCGACCAGACATGTCAGAGAAGATCAAGGCCGAAGTCATGAAACAGTTCAACGCCAGATTTTTAGCTGTTACCTCCTATCCACAATGGGTCTCCAATGTTCTTCCACTGCCTAAAAAGGAAGGCAAAGTACAAATGTGTGTGGACTACCGATATTTGAATAGGGTAAGCCCTAAGGATGATTTCCCACTTCTCCACATTGACATTCTTGTTGATAATACCACACAGCATAAAGTGTTCTCATTTATGGATGGTTTCTCAGGCTACAATCAAATCAAAATGGCACCTGAGGACATGGAGAAAACGACTTTCGTCACACAGTGGGGAACATTATGTTACAAGGTTATGCCATTCGGTTTGAAGAACGCTGGGACAACCTATCAGCGTGCCATGGTAGCTTTATTTCACGACATGATACATCAAGAAATATAGGTCTATATGGACGACATGATAGCCATATCTCAAACTGAAGAGGAACATCTTAACCATTTGCAGAAACTTTTTGAGAGAATAAAGAAATACAAGTTGAGGTTCAACCCGAATAAATGCACATTTGGGGTGAGGTCCGGTAAACTCCTAGGCTTCGTAATCAGCGGTAAAGGTATCGAAGTGGATCCAGCCAAGGTGAAAGCAATACAAGAAATTCCTGTTCCTCATACTGAGAAAGAAGTCAGAGGATTCTTAGGACGACTAAACTACATTGCCAGATTCATTTCTCACTTAACAGCTACTTGTGAACCAATCTTTAAATTACTGAAGAAAGATCAAGTAGTCAAATGGAATGATGAATGCCAAGCTGCCTTCGACAAGATCAAAGAGTACCTACAAGAGCCTCCTATTTTGATGCTGCCAGTAGACCCTTGATCATGTATCTAACTGTCTTGGAAAATTCAATGGGGTTTGTATTGGGCAGCATGACGAGTCTGGCCGAAAAGAGCATGCTATTTATTACCTGAGAAAAAAGTTTACCGATTGTGAAACAAGATATTTAATGCTTGAGAAAACTTGCTGCGCTCTGGCATGGGCTGCTTGCCAGCTAAGACAGTATATGTTGACCCATACTACCTTACTGATATCCAAAATGGATCCAATAAAATACATATTCGAGAAGCCAGCCCTCTCTTGGAGAATAGAAAGATGGCAGATGATCCTAACAGAATACGACATTCAACACACTACCCAAAAAGCAATAAAGGGCAGTGTACTAGCCGATCACCTTGCTCATCAAGCTGTAGATGACTACCAGTCCATGAAATTCAAATTCCCAGATGAAGACATCATGATGGTAAACAACTATGAAGAACTCAGACCATATGACGGACCTGAACAAGGATCCCGATGGACCCTGGTTTTTGATGGGGCATCCAACGCACTCGGCAATGGCATAGGTGTTGTAATCATATCCCCTGAAGTATGTCATACTCCCTTCACTGTGATACTTTGCTTCAATTGTACAAATAACATGGTAGAATACGAAGCGTGTATTTTTGGTCTCAAAGCTACCATAGATTTGGGAATCAAGTCCTTAAGTGTATTTGGAGATTCAACCTTGGTCATCAGTCAGATCAAAGGAGAATGGGACACGAAGCACCCTAACCTCATCCCCTACAAAGAACATGTGTTGACATTAATCCCGCATTTCAAGGAAATTACCTTTGAGCATTTTCCACGAGAGGAAAATCAACTAGCAGACGCGCTAGCCATAATGTCATCCATGTTTAAACTCAAATGGGATAACGAGGCACCCCAGATCACCATTGAACGAATGGATGAACCAACTTACTGTCACGAGATCAATACTGAAGAAGTAGTAGACCAGCCTTGGTTCCATGAAGTCAAGAGGTACCTCGAGGCTCAAGAGTATCCGGAAGGAGCTCCAGTTAATGATAAGAAGTTCTTAAGGAGATTCTCTTCTAAGTTCTTCATCAGTAATGGAATTCTCTACAAACGCAACCATGAATTTGTTTTGCTTCATTGCATAGACAAGGTTGAGGCAGAAAATATCATGGCTGATCTACATGAAGACACTTTTTGCACCCATTCCAGTGGGCATACGATGGCTAAGAAGATCCTACGGGCAGGGTATTACTGGTCTACCATGGAAACAGATTGCTATCAGCATTCACGAACCTGCTGTAGCGGTGAAAATCGGAGATCAAGTTATTAATTAACTTGACTCACAAAAGCAAGAGTCGCCACCGCGCTTTATTATTTCCAAGGGAAAAGGGAAAAGAGTGAAATAAAACCCTAAAATATGTAATGTAAAATAATACTTAAAAGTAATAAAAATACAATGCGTTTTTTGAAAGAGATCGAGAGTTCGGGGGCTGGTTATACAATGGGAAGGTATTAGCACCCACTGCATCTGCAGTACTTCACAGGAACCTTTTGAAATATCTGGTTTTTGTTTAAAATTGTTTGTTTGATTAAAATGGTTCGTTTGGCTAAAAATAGGTGTTGGCGAGATTTTGAAGATACGACGACCTAGTATCGAAGTTTTAACTTAAAAGGGGGTGAGTTTTAAAATTGAGTCTTTTAGAAAAGATTAACTTAAGATTAACAAAATAGTAAAACAAAAATGAAGGAAGGTATTCGCTTAATCGTATAACATGTGTTTGATGACATGAAGTCAACAAAGTTAGAACGTTTCCCTTGGAGTTAAAACCACAGACAGATAAATAAGCTAAGAGTATACCAAACCTTAGGTGAAAATAAATCACAAGCCGACAGCATCAAAACCAGATGTAAGATATTACTCCAAGCAGCGAATAAAAATAGTGCAACACGTGAAAATAAATCACAGACGAGGAACGCGTGGATAAAGCTCACGGTACCAGATAAGGCTCGAGATATTGAATAAAGCTCACGGTATAAGATTCCCTGCATCACATGAAATATACAGACAAAACTAACAGCACGGGAAACTTATGTGCGTCCGCGCAATTTTCAGAAGTTAGTTGGAATTAAAAATAAAATCTCAATGCGATGAAAATAATATTTTCAAAACCTGAATTTATTTACAAGTGAAGTGAATAGACAGTCAAAATATTATGTACAAGTATATATTTACAGTACCAAATATTAAATCAAAATGGTAAGGTAAAAAAAGGAATAATAAAAAAAGTATACATGCGCTATGCGAGAACGGACACTTGAAACAGTTCTCGGAAACCTTCACAGTAAACAAACTCGTTAGTAGCATAAGCGGTATAAAATGAAGGAAATTGCAACGGTTAAAACATGTGTCAGTAAGTAAAAAAAAATGAAATTGTGTGCTGCATATGAATAAATGAATATTTACACAAATAAAAATCAAGGATTCATGACATTATTCAATGTAAACACAAAAATCAGCATTGCGTTCATTATTTCAAGTGTATCAAAAGCAAACGCTATTTCAAACACAACGGAAAACAAAAATCCAAAGCTCACTTTGCAACATGAGAAATTGAATTCAAAGCATGAACCAAACAAATGATGATTATCAACAATTTAAATTCACAAACAAAACCAAAGAAACTCATGCTATAATTCCATTCGAACCATGAAAAATCAAACATTATTCATGCAAATCAAAAGTTGGACAGCAACTAAAAACTTTATGGATTTAAAATCTCAAAGCGAAAATCAAATGTTCATTCCATTTATGAGTATTCAAAAACCAATTAGCATCTATTCATGCTACTCAAAACATGTTCAAAACATGGAAAACAAAATGTAATTGAGCCATAATCGATCAAATTGGAAAAACCGGGCAGCAACTCTATGAAATATGTCCCAAAAATTCCAATTTTAAACATGGTTTGTAACAAAAGGAAATAGCATGATGTCTTCAATGGTTTCTCGGTTAGATTTACACGCAAATAAAATGCGGAATTATCGTCACCTTCATCGAAACTAACATGAATATTATTCGCCACAAATTCAATTGAAATCAAAACAAGAACAAATCATCACGGTGCAAATTTCAATCGAATTCAAACAAAACATGATAATAACTCAACATACACAAACGAAATGGTATCCGACAGAATAAATTCAGCATAATCCAATACTTAAAGCGACATTGAATTTAGAATTCCTCATAGTTTAATAGCAATTTTGACTAAACTGAATAAATTCAAAATCACATTTCAAGCTACTATCAGTGGATTTCCAATCTAACAACAAACTGTTTTTCCTTGGAACTTAACAACAAAGCAAAAACAAACAGCATCACAATTATATGCAACTGAGATAAGATCGGAAATTACTGAACCGTGTCGACGTGGAGATGCAATCTGGACATGGAAAGCTATATATGGAGTCACTAGGCCTTTTGAGCTCAATTCCTTTGGAGTCGCTGTGTGACCTCATGCTTAGCAATTGACGCTTGAGACTTCTCCATCCAATATTGGTACTGTCAAAGAGTAATGCCAACTTCCGCTTATCAGGCTTGATTGTCTTAGAGTGTCCACCATACAAGTATCTCCGGTGGCCCAGTTGAAAATAAGGGAAGTTACCGCCCTGTGTTGTGACAAACACCTCGCTATGAAGACAAACTGTGTAGTCTATAGCAGCCATCCTGGAAGAATAATTCTTAAATGGGGCAAGTTCCTCCTCGGATGCTAAAGTCTCCTTAGTATGCAAATTAGGAAACATTTACCTTAGAGGGGCCATTGTTATCTCGACATTATATATTTTTCCAGATGCCAAATAGATGGAGGTGTTCTTTGTAAAACCCATTCCCCTAAGCATAAGGACAACCTCTAATGGACTGAGGGGACACTTCCCATTGATCCTGATTGCTCCAGGACGTATAACTCGTCCAGGTTTTGTAAATTTCTCTTTCCAACCTCTTTCTCTTGCTGCAACCATGTCATCTTTCTCCTGTCTCCCACCATCAAAAACACAACAAGAGAAAGCAACCATATCCTCTTCAAAACGAAGATGTATGGAGACATATTTACCGCCATTCACTATGCTTTGCTTCCTCATTCTTGCAACCAAAGATTCACTCAGGGACAATATGGGACTTGAAAATCGTAAAGCCTCATAATTTGCTAAGCATCTGAGACGCTGGACAGCTGGAGGAGCATCAAATGACAATCTATTTGCAAAAGGTGAAATCCGTATAACCCGTTCTTCAAGTAACTTTGGGAGTACCACGTCTCTGTAATACTGAATGGATGACCATGCCTTGATCCTGAAATTGAAAACATTTGTCATGTTGCTGCCAAATCTTTCCATCATGTGCTCCAGAATCTTTTCAACCACCCGTACATCATTTTTCAAGATATTGCCAAAATATTCTTCATCATAAATGTCGCTGAACTTGCTAGGATCCTTCCAGATGCTATGAAAATGGAAATTTGGGATCACAAGAGTAGCATTAAGATAGCCAGCCACAACAACAGCATTGCATATCGATGTCCTTTGCTGATTTAAGCCACCATTAGCCTCTACATAAATGTATCCATTTGATTCAGGAAGGCCTTCTGAAGATCTGTGCAAGCATGGTTTCCATTCACCACCTCTATATGGACTCTTCCATATTGTTGATATCGCATCGGCTGAAGAATTATCCGCATCCATTTCGTGTCGAAGCTTAGCATAGAGTTGAGGACTCCGGTAGAGAGAACCAGGAGCCGAACGGTGCTTAATGAGGAATAAGAGAATGAAGAAAACAGAGGAGAAGTTTGCAAAGAAAGAGGGTTTGATCTAGAAATGAAAGGCTTGCAAAGTTCATGCAACTCTTCAATGGAGGTTCTTGGTTCAAAAGGGTGTGTGGAAAGTGAGAAAGTTTGAGGTTTTTGTTCGGTGGTAAATATAGAGGAGAAGGTACAAGAAGGTTCGGGGTGGAGGGGAAAAAGAGAGGAGGAAATAGAAGGGGTTGGTGTGTTGGTGGTGGAAGTGACGGTGGAGTAACCTCTAACCACCGCATGGAGATCCCAATCTTGTTCCATAGGAAGAGACAAAGGCTGCAATAATATGTGAGGTTGGTGGTTCTGTTTGAGAGAGAAAGACAAAAGAAGGCGCTGACTTTTGGTGAGGTGAAGAGAGGGAACGGTAGAGTGGTTATTGTGTTGAACTGGGTGGCTTTTGTTGAGAGGAGGGAGTTTGCGCTTGCTGATTGGGTGGTAATTAAAGGGAGAATTGTTGGGAATTTTTTTGTATCGATCCGCAACTCTTGCTTACAACCAATGAGAGCAAAGCAAAGTGTAACAAACATTTTTTTATGACAGAAAAGCCCTTTAATGATAAAAATAACTTAAAAACCTAAAAGTATAAAATTAACTCAATTTAAAAAACAAATTATATTTGTTTTTGAATATAGAAAATAGAGACCCAAGATGACTAAAAACGGTAAAAAAATGGACAAAAATATATCCGAAAAAATGAAATGAACACATTAAAATAAACTACACGTCTCAAAGATAAATGAAAAAGAATATTAAAATGATCAAAATCGAAATAAAATGAGAACAAAAATATCAGGCTGAACAAACGTTTACGGTTAAAAATGAGACTTCAAATTGTATCAAAATAATAAATCGAGCATACCGTCATAATCTACCCGAAACACGGATTCATAAAATGATCAGTAAAAGGTGAAAACTTGAAATATTTTTCTCGCTATTTTTTCGCACAATATCGAATCGCTTTTAACAGTCTGTCTATAAAACCAAAATATTTTTATTATCGACATATAAACAACTTGGAGCAATGCAAGAAAATAGTAAACAGGTAAAAATGAATGATGTGAAATGCCGGGTATTTTACAACTGAAAGACGATGCAAACTTTGATTTAAACTGACTTTTCCTGGTCAACTTAAATACGACTAATGATGCAAAATGTGATGAATGAAGATGTTTACTAATGATTGTGACCAAATGACAAAATATGGTATGAATGTGCGACTGGAAAAATTAGGGGCGAAATAAAGGGTGCAACAGTGTGCCTTGATGAATCAGTCTTCGAGAATCCACAATCAACCGTACTTCTGGCTTGGGGGACTCAAAACCTTAATTGAGGCGCGACACCTGATGCTCTTGATTCAGACCTGTCTCTGCACATGACACAAAAGAAAACATGAACATACACCTTTGTATGCAATTAGAAATTAGTGATACATATGCTAAAAATGTTCAAAACACTTGACAATCTTCGCATAGTCAAAGCTCGAAAGTGAGACGTTAAAACCGACCGTATTTCGTGACCTTGACTTATCTTAAAAAATGCAAAAATAAAAATGGGATCTTAGGTCAAAAATTGGGGTACAACAGCTGCCCATATTTAAGTTTCTTCTATCTGGAGATATGAAGATTGGGATCTTCATTTCGACGAGATTGAAGGGACTTAAATATAGAATACACAATTTTTGGCCTTAAGATACCGCGATTACGTTCATGATATGATATGAATGTAATGCTCTGAATTTTATGGGGAATGACGCCATATGAGACAGACTATGCTGGAGAAACCAAGCACATTATAGTAATCCCACAGGGGAACAAATTATAACACCACTGTGAAAAAAAAGTCATAGACTTCAAATGAGAGACTCTTGAACGATTTACATTAGTATTGGGACTGGAAAAGGTAATGATTTACAACAGTACTGTGACTGGAAAAGCATATGATTGACATCAGTACTGTGACTGGAAAACAAAATGATGGACATCAGTATTGAGACTGGAAAAGGTAATGATTTACATCAATACTGTGGCTGGAAAAGGAAATGATGGATATCAGTACTGAGACTGGAAAATGATTGACATCAGCACTGTGGCTGGAAAACAAAATGATTGACATCAACACTGTGGCTGGAGATAAACATCTCTGATTTCTGAATTTTACCAAGAACGGTTACACATTTCTTCTTTAACCAATATATCGCTTGAAAAGGATAAAATAACAAACTTCCCCATGGGACTTTTCCGAAAGGGATGCCATTTGCTGAGTAGACATTATTGTTGGGGATACACAAGCTGCTATAATAAAGAGGCCGCCCCTTGCTTCCTTTCAAAGGTGTCAATAACATACAAGCTGCTCATGAAGAGACTGCCATTTGCTATCTTCAAAGAATATTAAAACACACAAGCTGCTCATGAAGAGTCCGCCACTTGTTGCCAAAAACCCACAAGCTGCTCATAAAGAAGCTGCCACTTGCTGTCTTCAAAGAATATCAAAGCACACAAGCTGCTCATGAAGAGTCTGCCACTTTCTGTTTTCCGTACAAGCTGCTCATGAAGAGACCGCCACTTGCTGTTTTCAAAGGTGACAATAACATACAAGTTGCTCATGAAGAGGCTGCCTCTTGCTGTTTTCTCTAAGGTATCAATAACATACAAGTTGCTCATGAAGAGACCGCCGCTTGATGTTTTTCAAAGGTATCAATGACACACAAGTTGCTCGTGAAGAGACCGCCGCTTGCTGTTTTTCAAAGGTATCAATAACATACAAGTTGCTCATGAAGAGACCGCCGCTTGATGTTTTTTCCAAGGTATCAATAACATACAAGTTGCTCATGAAGAGACCGCTGCTTGATGTTTTTTCCAAGGTATCAATAACATACAAGTTGCTCATGAAGAGACCGCCGCTTGATGTTTTTAAAAGTGTTGATAACATACAAGTTGTCCATGAAGAGACTGCCGCCTGCTGTTTTCTCAAAGATACCCATAAAATATCATGAAGATATTGCTGGAGGTGAGGATCAATAATTTCATCGAGGATGGACAAACTGCTCATGAGGAAACCGCCATTTGTCGTAGAGAAATCAGAAATAATCAAACTGCTCAAATAGAGAGTCAGTCGCTTGTTGTCATGTCGATATTCCAGAAGAAGGTTGTGATAACACTGCTGGGGAATAAAGTTCATCTTCAATGGGGAACCATGAATAAATCCTTCTTGAGGAGACCAAGTATTTACGTTGCAAAATAAATGCACTCTCCATCTAGGTTTCACATCCTAGAGAGATCCACAGGATATCATTCACAAGAGACAAAGCTCAATCCAGGAATAAACTGGAGAGAAAATAGTCAAACAAGACTCCACCCAATGAGGAAACAACTCAAATGGGATTTATCCTATCCATAGATGGAAAAGGAAAGCTAAAGCAAGGTTCTTCCACGAGAGTTAACTCAGTGGGGAATTAGAAAGGAGGCGCACTTTCTGCTTAAGTTGACACTCTATTTGGAAAGATCAAATATGCTATTTGAATTGACATAACCAAGGTATACGAACCCGAAGACATCAACAAATACAAATGTGCATGCATGATGCAAGTGTGAATGAATAAATGAATGCCATGTATGTGCTGGCAAAACAAATAGACAAGATAAACTGGAGATGATAAGACATCATAGCACAACCCAACACTCGGCTAATCTCAACAGGATGGGGACATTACTGGAGGTAAAACACAGGCCCTCATTGGAGCAAGGTCCTTTTACAAGGCTTAAATATCTCTGGAGAGGAAGATATTTTCAGGTAGAAAACCCAAAGTTCAGTCTTCTATTGTCAACAATCCATTAAAAGGATAACAACACAATGTTTTAGCTGGAAAAAAGCCATGCTTAATTGGAGATACTGGGAACACTACCCTCTGATAATGTGTGCAATACATATCACATACCTTGACAAATCTAGATTGCCCCTGGGACCAATTTTAGATGCCCCAAGTTTACTGCTGATAAGCTGCATGTTGCACGACAATTCTTGTGAATAACTTCACTTCTAAAATGCCTCAAGCTATATGGTTGGTGAGGAGAAATAATATCAAGAGGATTTTACAAAAGACCTGGCATTCATCATGCTCTGGTGTCTTCAAACTCTTAGAGAGATTCATCGAATCTCGACGTGATTGCCCCGGATTAACTGTAGTTGGCCCAACAAAGTCTTCAAATTTTGCCCCAAAAGAGTAAACAAGTTGGGAAAGCATTAAGTGGGAGAAGCAACATGTTCGTGTTTATGGTCTTCAGGTGACATGCCCCTGGATATGATTTTTCTTGAAATGATCTGCCAATTACTCAACAGAGCTTCAGGCCTTAAGAATAGACTCATCACTGGTGCTTATATGTGAGTTTCCTTGATATCAAACAAATGTTTTGCAGTTAGAAAATTTTATTATGAGAATGAAAATTCTAATGCAACAATTATGTAAGTCTTGAAGATTTTGAAAGGATATCACACAAATTTTGCGAGTTAGAACATCATTTATTTTTGTATAGGAAAAACATATGATACCAACATAACTATTTAGAACATTCATGGGAGTCAGGAACACTATCTCATTGAAGTATGCTTTCAAAATAACCTTGCTTCAATTAGGACTTTTGAAGGTTGTAATGTGGTCTGGTTCATGGTTTTAGAAAAAAGGATTTAAGGCTCAAAGTATTCGGTGCCCACCCCCTTCATGATGTTCTCCAATCCTATGTTCAGTTAATTCAACATGAGCGTTCATCTCTCAAAAGGATTTTGTGACGATTAAGGAAACGACGAGGCTTTCGGAGTAGAAACCACCCTCATGTCTTCGTGTTTGTAGTCACCAATTTGTTCTTTGTTGAGGACTTTTCTTTGCAGTCCTTTTCT